CACACACACACACACACACACACACACACACACACACACACACACACACACACACACACACACACACATAGTTCACAACCCACACAAAAAATGACAGCAACAGATATGAATAAGAAGGCAGAGTTAACTCACCAGAAGCCTCGACGAAACGCATAACCCAAGCCTCAGCGTCCAACCTCCAGGATCCAGAGTCCAACCTTCAGCAGGTAAAAGAGCTTAGCAACCACAATGCGTATGTTCTGGCTGGGTGGGTGGGTGGGTGAGCGGGGTGTGTTTGCTTGTGTGTGCGTTTGTTGTCAAATTCGCTATACACTGAAAAAAAGCAAATGCGTGTGTGTGTTTGTGTGTGTGTGTGTGTGTGTGTGTGTGTGTGTGTCCACCGTTGAGCAAAGTTCAAATCGAGCGTAGGAATGTCGAAGTCGAGTAGTAGAGTGGAGTAGCGACGTCGACGTCGAAGACGAGCGTACCACCGTACTACCAGGTACTGTAGAGTAGCGTCGAAGTCGAGCAGTCGAAGTTGAGCATATGGGCACGGTTTCTTTCTGGCGGCGACTGACGAGAGTGCTTTGTTACCCGCGGCCAACCGGAGAACCTGCGCCGTGCACCGGCCAAAAGCTGGCCCCGCGCGGTACGGGGGAGAAATTCCGCGTACCACTGGACCAGGGCCTGTGCTGCGCCCGTTACGGGGACAATGCTGCGCGCGAAATTTTTGCTTTTCTATGGGGCCAGCGCGCCGTACCCAGCGCGATGGCTTCTGCCCGCCCAGGGCTACCTTCTGGAAATCGGGTTTTCAGAAGTAGCTCGTGTTTTCCCGAATAGAAGGTACGTGCCGATTTAACCTGAGTAATTTGAATTCGAATATAACGTACGTGAGTTGTATTGGAAATTTTGCCTATCTCAATTGGTAAGGCACGCAAGTGGCATTCAGGAGGTCTTGGGTTCAATCCCCATTGGCCTCATGCACCTTCCTGGGCAAGCTTGGCGCCCGCCACATAGAGATATGCCGTTGGTCCCCCCAAGTTGCGTTGAGCAGAGACTGCTGATGTTCATAGGGGGAGGGGACCGGAGGGGAGGCACAGTGACTGGCCCATCGAAGAAGCTCGAGTGGCATTGAGCAGAGACTGCTGATGTTCATAGGGGGAGGGGACCGGAGGGGAGGCACAGTGACTGGCCCATCGAAGAAGCTCGGTCCTGATGCTACCGGCTGACCCCTGGCCGGCATCGCTCACTAGCAGGTATCGCACCTGCTGCTGGGTGCAGCTTCCGCATGTTCCCTCATTGGAGGCTTGAACATGGATGTGGCTGCTACGGGGTTCCCCGTAATTACTATAATGACAATAAAAAAAAAAGGCCTGAAAGCCCGTCCTGTCCAGATTTGACAGGTAATTGAATTGGTTGGGCTTAAAGCATTAGCCTTAAACCATCAGTACCCGAACTTTTCGATGTCTTGGCCCAACCAATTCAATTACCTATCAAAGAAATTACGATGTCTTGGCCAGTACCCAAACTTTTCGGGGTGGGACACAGGGTCGGCAATGTCCCATAAATCTGAATTTTATAGTGACAGAAAAAGGGGGAAAAAAAATGCTTTCTCTACTGCAATGATGTCGGGCTGGGTAGTCCAGGAGGTCGTGCTCACAATCTTCCTCCACAGAATGCACCTTACAGGTAAGGCGGTCACATTCTGAATGTTACTGTTTTCTTTTTCTTGTTGGTCGTTTGTTTCTTATAAGTCCCTTGTTCGTGAATTGCTCAAGTTGTCTGTGATCTGCTCAAGCTCTGTCTGGTCAGAGGATTGTAAGGCTCATCACAGTGGCACTTAGGGGAATGTATCCAGCCATTTTCACGGTCGGATCCATGTGTCCGTTTTTTTCCCCTTTTATTCTCTTTTTGGAATCTGACAACCTGGCCACGGGGCTGAAATGCCCTCATTGAGGGCACACTCACACTACCACTTTCAAAAATGTATACAACTGCAATCATGGCCAAAGCTTTGTTCCTTTTTTGTTTTTGTTTTTTTTTTTGAGGTTCACGGCTGCTACTTTTCTTCTTCTTTTTTGTTCTTTCCATGAGAGGACCAGAAAGAAAACGAAGTGGTACCTAGGCTCGGCAAAACTCAGAGCGCGGTGAAATTCAAGGTCGGCAAAAACAGGCTCGGAGGTACTGGTGTTTAAAAAAAAAAAAATAAAAATTTTGAGTTAAAAAAAAAAAATAAAAAAAAAAATGTTATACAACAATGGAATATAAAAACATACCTTTTTTTGGATAACCGATTTTTTTTTATATATATAACCGGGAAACGGGTCCGGTGTCCCTTACATCATTTGCTGTGGTCAAATGGGTTAAGGAAGGCAGTCCCGGCCAAACCTATCCCCACCACAGCCTCACAAGGTTACGAAAACCGATGATCCCAATCCGAACCCTAAAACAAAATTCACGTTCCCTAATTTAACGGAAATCAAATCCTAATCTACGCCCTCTTCAAACCACTATTATCAAACAAACCTAAGCTCCACCAACCAAGGTTACAAAACCAATGATCCCAATCCCAACCTTAAAACAAAATTCACGTTCGCTAGTTTAACAAAACTCAAATCCTAATCTACCCCCTCTCCAAATCACCATTATGAAAACAACCCTAATCTCGCGGAATCCAAACTAGATAACAAACCACCAACCAACACATAAACAAGATATTTAATGGTTTCATCCTACTTACTCACTACCAACTAAGAATACAAAGAAAATGATTATCCTCAATAGTGTCTTACCCACGGATAGTCAATGATGTTATCGAATTACCAGACTCACGGGGAAAACCAACAAGGAACGTAATCCAACGAAGTAACACTTCTAAAATCATCTTTAAAGCACTAACAAAACGGAAACCAAAACTAATTAGAATTATGATAACCCTTACTTGTCGAATCGCTAGTCCACAAAGTACCAATTACACGTACTAACACGGCTTATGGTAACAATTAGAATCTAAGAAAACACAATCATCTATACTGGCAACGCTTGCAATTTAGGGAAACACAGTCAATGACTGTCAGAGCACCAGAAATCAGAAAATTTTAAGCAACACCCCGCCCGAAGTAGAAGTAAAGGCATCAGTGGACAGCCCCGCTCACAACTTGAAGTTCGTTGTCAGCGACGGTGGACGATACTGATCACGGCATGAAGTCCATGATCCATCTTCCGGAAGTCGACATTTATCAGTGTACTCTCATCTTTCATCTCCAGCTCTTCATCCAGATAAAACTGTATCCACTCCAACAAGGCAATCGTTCTCCGTATCTATAATCAGCGGGCAAAAACCCTAATTAGGTAGTAATACTGATATGTACGATGCGGAGATCTTGCCCATTGACCGACCCCACATCTCTCTCCTTCCTTCTATGACCCATCTAGGATTACCAACTTTCGTCGATCAAGATTAGGCTATGCTTGAGGGTCTTGTTGAAATTCAGAGAAAAAATAAAAACGAGGATTAAAATAACAAAATATTTTTCAGTGTTTTCACTGATTTTTTCAGAATTGCGATTTAAAAAAAACATTAAAACACCTCCAAAAAAAGTACGTTGTACAAAATTGCAATGCAAACAACTTTTGTCTGAGGGTCTTGGCAATATTCCCAACCAAATTTGAGATAAAAATAAAAACAACGGAGGTACTACAGACTTTTGAGAAGTTCTATCTGAAAACTCGTTCTATAACGTACGTACGTTGTAGTCGAATACAACATACTACCCCATAAGTTGTATTCATATACAAGGTACGTACGTTTATTTTGGGTTAAGAAGGAAGCGGGATGTTTTCGTTTCTCGACGTGCCCATCACACCGAATCTAAGGTGATGGTTTCTACCAACCCAGCACTATCGTCTCCAACATGGATCAATTTACTTACCATGAGGCCGGTGCGCAGCCCGCAGTCTGTCTGTTGATGTGGTTGTGGAAGGGTAAGGTAATGATTATGGGTCTCGCCACACCACTCTCGAAATGTGAAAAAGACAAAATTGTGGCTGGTGCATCTGGCGGTGTTCTAGCAGATAGTTCATTCTCATTTTTTTCACATTTCGAGAGTGGTGTGGCCCGGGCGATGCCACATGCTGTGTCATTTTCGCTATACACAACTCCAAAAGTGTGTTGTCATATTTGCTATACACTAAAAAAAGCATGACTATGCCAGACTGTTTCGTCGGACTTTCATCGACCCACCGGGAGGTTGTGTGTGGCGAGAGTGAGTGCATGTTTATGTGAGTATGAATGTGCGTATGTGAGTGTGTGTGTGTGTGTGTGTGTGTGTGTGTGTGTGTGTGTGTGTGTGTGTGTGTGTGTGAGAGAGAGAGAGAGAGAGAGAGAGAGAGNGAGAGAGAGAGAGAGAGAGAGAGAGAGAGAGAGAGAGAGAGAGAGAGAGAGAGAGAGAGAGAGAGAGAGAGAGTTCCACCCAGATGAGTAGATCCAAAGTCACAGGAAGTTTACCTCTATTGCAGACAATGAAGCATGCTTAAGATGAACCAATCCACCAATGAAACAAGTTTGCCTGTAAAGTCAGCAACATGAAGCACAATGGGCCTCGCTCCACTACTCTCGAAATGTGCAAAACGAGAGTGAATCTTCCGCTGGAACATGGAAAGATACGCCGTCATAATTTTTGTCTTTTGTGCATATCGAGAGTAGTGGAGCGAGGCCCAACATCTATCCAAAATCACAGAAATCTTACCTTTATACAAGCAAGGAATCTCATCTTTATACCAGCAATGCAACACACTTGAGATGAGTCAACCCAGCAATGAAACCAATATAAACACAATAAATACATTTTGTAGTTTTTTTTATTGTGTTTACATCAACTATCATTGGGAGGTCTCCCATTTATTTGTTTTTGCAGCTCCCCTCTTACCGTGTATCTCACATACAAGGCTGGCCCCGTTGATAATGGAGCACCAGCTGCCCACATCCCCGTGTGCCTTTACGGCCCACTTGCACATTATAAAAGGAGGCAGTGTGTGTGTGAGAGAGAGAGACAGAGAGCCCTGCTGTACGCAGCGCATCAATCGCCTGGGGTACAAGGGCAGGCACTAACCTCGAACAAAAAAAACTTTAAGATACTGTTCTGTTCAAACACGAGTTCTTTAGTTTCGAAATATGAATACAAAACACTTGCTTTGTATTCGAAAACATCGCATTT